ATTCGATCTTTGTTTCAACCTGCTAACATCAGTTCAATTACAGATCAAGTATCGTTCTGATGGCCCACTTGTTCTTCGTGGGATCAGCTGTACATTCGAAGGAGGGCATAAAATTGGTATTGTTGGACGAACTGGTAGTGGGAAGACTACTCTGATTGGTGCTCTCTTTCGTCTGGTGGAGCCAGTTGGTGGAAGAATCTTAGTAGACAGAATCGACATCTGTACAATTGGGCTCCATGACTTGAGGTCACGTTTTGGGATTATACCACAGGATCCTACTCTTTTCAATGGAACTGTGAGATACAACTTAGATCCTTTGGGGCAACACACTGATCCGGAAATATGGGAGGTACTTAAAATCTTGGCATATCAAAGCATGAATTTTGCATTTGCAGCTTATGTTTGGTTAAATGTCACTATTTTTAGTTCAGCATTCCTATTGCCAGTGGCTATTGCATTTGAGAAATTGCTTTTTTCTTTTTTCAACTTTCCGAACAGTTGCTTTAACCGCTTTGTAAGAACTTTTTTTCTGTTTCGAGAAGGTTCTTGAGAAGTGTCAACTCAAAGATGCTATTCAGGAGAAAGAAGAAGGCCTCGGCTCCTTGGGTAAGCTGGTCCAGTTCTAACGTAGTGATGAATGATCGATGAGCAGCGGCAGCTGCTGGTAAGATTTACTAACCTATCTCTTTTAATTTCAGTTGTGGAAGATGGATCAAACTGGAGCATGGGGCAGAGGCAATTGTTCTGTCTTGGCCGTGCTCTACTGAGAAGAAGCAAGATATTGGTTCTTGATGAAGCAACTGCATCAATAGACAATGCTACTGACTTGATTTTACAGAAAACTATCAGGGCAGAATTTGCTGATTGCACGGTGATTACGGTGGCTCACAGAATACCTACAGTGATGGACTGTACTAAGGTTTTGGCTATTAGTGAGGGTGAGGTTCATGTCTTGAGCATTTGTTTATGCTGAACTTGTCTTTTGACCATAATCATTATGCTAAAAATTTGTCTGACAAATATAATAGGGAAACTTGTGGAGTATGATGAACCAATGGAGTTGATGAAAAGAGAAGGTTCACTGTTTGGCAAGCTCGTGAAGGAATATTGGTCTCATTATGGCTCTGCAGAATTACAGTGAAGTTAAACCGCTGAGCCATTTGTGATCCTTTCCCCCTTTAGTGCATAGGCAGTTACAGGACAACTGCTCAAATAGCTGACAGAAAGCCGTGATACTGCAGCATCGGTTTGGCTCTTTTGTTTTCTAGTTCACCGGGGTGGCATATGGGGGTGCGTTCAACTCAAGTCGAGCTCGAATAGTGCAAGGTAAAATAATTAAACTTTAAATCGAGCTTGAACTCGAACTCGTTAAACTTTTCAAATTCGAATTTCAATTTACGTTATTCGAGCTTAAGTTTAATTAAATATATTCAATTCAAATTAAGTTCAATCGAGCCTATTTGAGCTCATTCAAGTCTAATCAAACTCACATAATAAAAAATTAATATTTTACACATAATTTTAAATAAAAGATATTATTGACATTTTCACAATAATAAATATAAAAAAATAAAATATATATTATAAAAAACTCGATTAGACTCGTCGAATCTTCAAATGCAAAATATTGAAATTCGAGATCAACTCGCAGCTTTTATCAAGTAGTTCGAGTTCAAGCCGAGCTGCTGACCGAATGACTTGCAAACTCGAGTCAAGCAATTCGGTCTAGCATCGGCCCTAGTGGCATATATACAAAAGGGAAGTGTGGCTTCCAGAGTCGAATGAAGGTGGAATCTCACAAGTAATGCACTGAAGATGCATGGAATTGTGTCATAGTAGTAAAATCAGTGAAGAAGATTCTTGGCCATTTTGACGATGCCCCTTTGGATTGTTAATAATCATAGGGGACTTAATTGCTTTGGGGTTGCAAAAATATAGAGCGTCTTGATAAATGAGACGCTGCTGTATTATGAGGGATGACAGATGAAACCCAGGCGAGAAAAATTGATCTCCAGGAATGACGCTGGCTGTAGCACTTATCGATATGAAATGCAGCTAAATTTTTTCAAATAATATTTTATTTAGATTATAAATATATTTTTCAATACACTTTTTGATATTTTCAATCACAATTTTATTTCATATATATCACTTCATAAAAAGTGTTAAAATAATTATTTCAAATAATACTCTATCCAAACACACTAAAAAATTTGTAGCGTAAAATAAACTACACACTAACAATAATGTATAAAATATTAACTTAAAAAAAGGAGTATCATGTACATTTCGGAACCACTGATACTTAGTGGACTTTAATAACATGTATTAGAACATTTCTTTAATATCATCACTTTATCATTCCATGACTGTGGTATATGTTTGAGGACAAAAACAAGATGTATGTTGCTTCAAAAAAAAATAAAAAAGAAGTAATATTTATGTTTTGAGGTACTGGCATGGTGGCTGGTTTTTGTGGCTGAAATTTTGAGTCAATTTCCAATTTGCTTTCCACCGCTGACCTATTCCAAAACTGCCCTACTGACCCCTCCAATCATTAGGAACTCTTTAGTCTTTCTCATCACGCCATGCGTCATCTGCCATTGGTAACGATATCACATGTGTCTTCGTTTGACTTGTCTTGTTTGATGACTGGGATACCGACCAAATACAATCTGGCAACGCTAAGGCAAATGAATCCAGCACTACTGTCCTGGCGATGAGAAAACTGACATTTTAGAATTTAAAATTATTGAATTTTAATTTTTTTAATTTTCTTACTTGCTTCTTAAATCTCACTTTTCTTCTATTTAAAAAAGAAGAAAAAAAAATCTGGCACCCATTAGAGTATGTAGGACTCCACACATTTGTATTACTCTGTCAACGGACACAGAAAACACCCTTGGCTAGCTTAAACCTTTTCAATTTCAATGCCACACGACCCCCCAATAAATAGAGCAACCTGTGTTTCCATAATAGAAATTTAATAGGATTATGCTATAATTTTGAACCTAATGTCAACTCTGAAATTGTAGCAAGGCACAAACCCAGTTACATTCTTTAACATGGTGTATTTTAATATTTTTTTTAATGCAAAATATATTATTTTTAAAAAAAGATTTTCTGAAAGAACTCTCTTTTTTTTTTTTTTTGAAAGCCTTAAAGAACTCCATTCAATGCATCTTGTCATGTGTATTATGCGCATTAATACATAATACATGAGATGGTAATCTAATTAATATTTTTTAGCTATCAAATGGTAATGTAATTTATAGGAATACCATAAATAAGAACTTTGGTGCTGTTTGTTTTACCATTTTTCTTCAAAAACACATTTCCTAGGAACAATCATTTTTTTTATCTTACATATATCAAGTCACTATCGTGTATATATATATATATATATATATATATATATATATATATATATATATATATATATATATATATATATTACAAAAACTCCAAAAAATAGCAATACAAATGGGTTTTTTTTATTATCACTCTGTATCTCTAAGAAGTTTGAAAATGAAGAAAAATACCAACTAGTTGAATATGTACTCTTCCAAAGAAAAACAAGTACTCTCCAACTAGTAGAAACTTTGAATATATGTCATGGGAATATATAATCTAATCTAAATGAATCGAACTTGTGAGTTTGTTGATTAATTTTGGTAGTTTCTTTAATAACTAATACTGTCAATAGATTGACTTCTAAGATCTTGTTTAGGATTGTCTAATTGTCAAAGGAAATAACCACAGAACTTATTATGGTAATTGAGGTATAGTAAGGCGAGACAGGCTGTTAGAACTTATTAACAACCATAATTAGTTTATTTAAAAGTAGATGAATTTTATTCTTATATCGATAATCAATAAAATGAACTGAAGTAGAGAAGCTTCTAGTCAATGGATTAATCTCTGCTTTGGTTCATGACTCATGTAATTGATTATCGATACTCCAGAATTCTTGTCTCTTATTGAATTATTTTTATTTCAACTTGCATTATTGTTTTTATTTAACTGAGTTATTTAGGTTAATTTCTCACAATCCCCTCTCCCTTTATTTATTGTTTCCTTTCAAGAAAATAAATCCTCCAATCCTATGGATATGACCTACTTACCACTACACTTGAATTTACAAATTTTTGAGTAGGAATTTTTATTAAGATTTTGTTTTCATTTGGAAACGGTGTGCTTAAAATCCATTCCCAATTGGTCATTTTATCCCTAACTGCACAAAGTCCAAAACAGGAATAGGTGGTCCGGCATGGTTGAAATTTCGAGTTTCAGACATTCACAAATAACATCTAGAGGGAAAAAAAGGAAGAAAAATTAGTTCACTAGTTGATAGTTGCATATGTGGATCAAACAAGTCTTCCACCGCAAGTGGAAACAAGAGGGCTTACGGGTTTGATTAGCACCATGTTCTGGTGCAGATATTGCTGTCTCCATTTGTTAATGAAGTAGCGTCTGAAAACAATTCTATTATGTATGCACTTAGCTCAAAGGCAAGATATAATTTTGGAAAGCATAAGAAAAAAAGGCTCAAAATCAAATTTTGCATCTTTCGCTGCTAGAATGAAACAAAGTATGATTGCAAGATCCTTATATAATACTCAGAAATCTAGAAAACCAATGTTAGGATATAACCTAGTTTTCCCTCTTCCGACTCTAAGCGTAGTATTTGTGATTAGTATGGGAAACATAATAGTTTTGGCAAGTATGGAGAGGGAGCAAAGGTTTATGTGTAGATGAATAAACACGACATAAAGAAAAATGTACGTGGCGAAGCTCAACAAGAGAAAATAATGATAAACATATTCATGGGCCAAATAAAGATACATTCGCAGTATTAATCATAACCATTTTATTATTATACTAAATATCATCATGTCAAAACTTGACATCTTAAGAAGAGCACATCATGAACATTAATTAGTAACGCAACTACTCATGATTCATTTTATTAAAGTAGATAAAAGAAAAATGATACAGATTCATGTGAATTTACCAGAGAATTTTTGAAGTGGGCGCTTAATCCTCTCCAATGATGCCACAACATCTTTCATATTGATCCTATCTGTTGAGTGTTCTGTGCAGCATTTTAAAGCCAATTCCAAAATCTGCAACACGAAGTCCTGCTTTTCAGCTAGATGCCTGTCATCTGGCAGTAGTAGTTTGGGATCAGTAACTTGGTTTGTTGCATCAGGTAGAGAATTTTCTATCCAACTCTTCAGGCTTAGCGAACCAGAAAACTTTTCATCACTGGGCTTCATTCCTGAGAATGTTTCCATCAAAACAATTCCAAAACTATAAACATCGCATCTTGTTGATACTTGTCCGTCTTGTCCGTACTCTGTAATAAAATGTTACAATAAACCAAACTTATTAACATAAGAAGTTGGCAAACCAACTTGAGTTAGACAAATGTAGAAACACAAATTTATATGCTTAAACGAGATACAAGGTTAACCTGGTGCAATGTATACCAATGTTGCAAGCGTTTTCGTATGCAAAACACTTTCTCCTTCACCAAACAATTTTGCAATTCCAAAATCACTCACATGGGCAACCATATATTCATCAAGCAGTATGTTACTAGGCTTCAGATCACAATGAACCACCTGAGTTGTGTATCCATAGTGGAGATATTCCAAGGCATGAGCCACATCTAGCATTATATTCAACCTTTGCAACATATCTAAGACATGATTCTCTGCATACAACCACTTTTCAAGACTCCCATTAGACATATACTCGAGTACCAGGGCCTTAAATTCATCATTGGTACAACTGCCAATTACTTTCGTGAGATTTCGATGGCGAAGGTTTCGAAAAACCTCGCATTCTACTTGGAAGCTCTTGAATGCAATTTCTAGTCGCAAATTGAAGACTTTGACAGCCACAACTGTTCCATCATTCAGAATCCCTTTGTAGATAGATCCACAACTGCCAATGCCTAGTAAATTGCTTTCAGCATATCCATTGGTTGCTCGAAGAAGTTCATAGTATGATATTCTTGCTGGTGCTGGTGTGAGCTGTAAATCAGGCGTTCTTGTAACCTTTTTCTTCCTTCTGTATATTAAAAATATAACTGTTAAACTTATGCTGGTAATCACTGCAGCTACAGCACCTAAAAGAACATAAACCACTAGCAATCTTTTCTTTCTACTGGAATCGTGAGTTTGAGAATTGCTGCAAGGAGGAACAAGAAATTGTGGAGCACCACAGAAAGCATCATTAGACATGAAAGACTGACTTGTCAAGTTCCTAAAAGGGCCAGCGGTAGGTATTTCTCCTCTTAGATTGTTGAAAGAAAGATTGATGCCTTGGAGATACTGAAGGTTCTCAAAGGACTTTGGTATAAAGCCTGAGAGATTATTGTAGGACAGGTCCAAGAATTGCAAGCTAAACATGTAGGCCCATCAAGTGCATTTTGTGATAGAAAAAGAACTGATAGACTTATCAAATCCCCAATCGAGCTAGGAATATTTCCTGAAATACGATTTGCTGATATATCAATAAGTGTTGCTGCCTTCAAATTTTGAATTTCTGGAGGCAGGAAGCCACTCAATGAATTTGAGGATAGGTTCAATTCAATGAGGTCCTTCAGGTTCCACAAGCTTGAAGGTATGCCAGAGTTCAGGACGTTTCGGGCGATATACAAATATCTGAGAGAAGTAACATTACCTAAGCATGATGGAATAGCACCTGAAATGGTATTCTGGCTCAAACTTAAACCATACAAGTTCTTCAAATCACAAAGATTTTCAGGGAGTGGTCCAGTTAGTAGGTTATCTTGGAAATTGAGAGCTTGAACGTTTTGCATGCCTCCTAATGTGTCTGGAATTGGTCCCATCAAGTTATTTCCAGCCACATTCAAAAGCAATAAATTGCTCAAATTGCCAAAGCTATCTGGAATATTTGCCTTGAGTTCACAGTCGTATGCATAAATTCTCTCAACTGAGTAAGAAAGGTTCCCAACTGATCCTGGAAAAGTACCCTCTAAAGGATTGTAATCCAACCCTAATTTCACTAGGTATTTACAGTTTGTCAAGGCAGTGATGAAATTCATCTCCGAAGTGGAAGGATCACTTCTAAGATTATTATGAGAAATTTCCAAATTTTGGAGAAATCTTAGATCTCCCAGGGAATTAGGAATTACACCACTGAGTTTGTTTCGAGAAATGTCCAAGTGAAATATATTAGAAGCATTTGAGATAGATGCTGGTATAGCTCCATCGAGGTGATTGGAATTGAGATCAACATACTCCAAATTCACGAATCCATTACCAAAGTCAAGACTGCCAGAAAGATTGTTGCTCTGAAGCCCAATATTTTGGAGGGTTGTGATGTTGAAGATCTGAGCTGGTATGGAACCAACTAAGCTATTGGAACCCAGACCAAGTTCTACTAGGGTGTAAAGTTTTCCGAATTCCCGTGGTATTTGACCTGCCAAATTTTTATGATGTATAGATTGTAATGTGTCAAATAAATTGGTGTTTCGAGCATTTTAGCTTGTAAAACTTGTCTTGCCTTGTAGGTGAATTAGAACAGATAGGAACGAGTGAAATCACAATAGCAGTACTGATATTAGTACTGCAAAATCTAGAGGAAACAGACCAGCCAACAGTACCCGGAGCAAAGACTGATCAATTATAACCTCTTCCTGCTCTTCTCGCTTGGATCCTGTGCCTATGCTGTTTTTTTTTTTTTTTGTTGACAAAGTGCCTATGCTGTTGCACAAACAGAGTGCTTTTTATGGTCTAAATCGGATCATATCAAATTGATTTGATCTTGACTATTCATTTTAATTTTTTTCTTTTAAATTTGAAAATGAATGACTCAAATCAAATTGGTCACCAAAAAAGCATAGTACAATTGCAGGTGCAACTGTACCAGCTGTGTGTCCCTTTCACATGCGGACAATCAAGCAAATATGATGACCCTATGTACGGCCATATCGTCAAACTCTGGGATAATGTAGCTTACGGGTTGGATAGGGTAGAGATCTAAAATTCAGAATTGGTATAGGACATTTTAGGCCATAGCTAGGGTATAATCCACCTGTATAACCAATCACATATGGTGATGTTTGAAAGGATTTATGCATAAATGTAAGGAATAATTTCAGAAACCTCCCCAGAGCTTCTGATAATTTCAAATAGCTTTTCTCATGATTTGAAAATTACATATACCTCCCATAGAACATAGGTTTGGGTTCTACCTCGATGATGTAATATCAAAAAAGTATATGAATGCTCAAAATTGCCCTCATATAATTTTCAACAATGAATAATCATTAAAATTTTTTAAAAGTCAAGAATACACTTGTATACTACCAAAATTATGAGTTTTATTGCTTAGCCAATATTCTAATATTTTTCATCATCATGGTTTTCTACGTCCACCCAAACTTTCAAACTCTTATCACTTCTTCTTCCAAACAAACTCTTTGTCTTAGATGCCAAAATTCACCGTCGTAATTCTTTCCTTCACAATCGTTACCTCTCTATAGGTTTCTTCCATATATTGCCTACCAAATCGTTAGTCATAAAACTCATAATCCTTATCTTTTTCCCACTCAAACGACCAAGCCCTCAGTTATCAAAATTCTTCTAATCTCTGCTCTCAACATTTGGGTTGGTCATCCTAAATTAGCCCCCATTTTTTTCTCTGAATTGACACAATTTTATTGAGAACAAGTTTGATGTCGATTAAGAGGAACCAGACAAAATATCAACAAAGTGTAAGTTTTGGGTAGTAGTTTAGTATAGTCTATCAAGTTATACTTTTTCGTAATCTAGTTGCTTTTTTATGCTCAATGATACGAACAATTGGGTTTTTGGCGGTGATGATTGCTTCCATCATCATCAAAAGCAGTAGCATGATAATAAGATTAGTGAGGTAAAGGCTTTTAATGGGTTTTCTATGCGAAAATTTTAGATTTCCATTATATTTCAATTTATGGATAGTGATACCAACGTTGTGATAAGTAGGGTAGCAGAATAAAAAGAAGTTACAAGTTTCGGATTAGCTTTTAGGAGATTAGAAATTCAGAAGACTCTTTGAGAAAGGTGGTAGGGATGGTAATGGCAGGTTGACGATAAGGAAGGAGATATCTTCCTTGATCAGTGTATTTGAGTGATAGAAAGTTACAATTTAATAGCCATGGCTAAAGGAGTTTGGCCACAATATGTGGCTTGGTCAAGAAGAATTGTTTTTTTTTTTCCTTTTTTTTGTTATCTTTTTCCCTTTTTTTATCAATGGCTTGTCTTTTGAAAAATTATGAAGGTTATTATAGTCATTATATATCATCAAGGGAGGTAAGTGTAATATTGAAAAGCTCAAGGGAGCTTAGTGAAATCGTCAGAAACCTCAGGGGAGGTTTCTGAAATTATCCCTAAATGTAAACAACAATCACAATTGGTTGATGCACATAAATGTAAACAACTCGAGAAACAATTCATAAACATCCCAATTAAGCGTACATTATTAGGATTTATCCACAAACGTACTTTTCTAGCTTTGACTTTAACATGTTGAATTGAAAGTCATGTATAACTATCTTCCAGTCTTAAACTAAAACGAGTATATTTGCAGGGGTTTAGCTTGTTTGGATTGCTATTTTCTACTATTTTTATAGAAAAATATACTGTAATGATTTGATATATGCCAAGTGAAAAGGTTATTGAGAGATGTGCTCATGAAAAAAGTAAAAATTTTTTGGATAAAAATAGTTGGCCAAATAGGAAGGCTCTAAAATCTAAGAGCAGAGAATATAATTTCTTCTTTAAAACCTTAGTGACCTAAGTAATTTAGTCTCTATAGAATTCTTCAAAATTTCAAAAAACCTTTCAATGCACAAATGACTTGATTTAATTGTTTAATAAAAAATAGTGGAATCACATAAATAAATTTGAAAAAGTGTGATAATTTTAAAGGTGCGAACCCAAACTATTATTTGAGAAGAAGAACCAATTCAAATATTATACTAGAAAACATAACGTGATGACTTTGAGACATAAAAAAGAACTCTAAAATCTTAACATTACTCTACCAGCAAGATGTCATTTTAGGGTTTTGATTAGTCTACTAGTCAACTTTCATGGCATACAAATTTATCTTATTAAACATGTGAATCAACGCCTAAACATGCAAATCAGCTTCTTTATTTTTTATCAAAAAACTTCACGAAAAATATAACTAAATTAATATTACCATATTCATAACAATTCAATAGATCACACTATCGGATTTTGCCTTTTTGTTCAATTTTCGATAGATGGTTTTGCATAGCCATATCCTATTAAATTTCGACAATTAGGATTTCCATAATTCAGAATTGTCATACCTGTGAGGTGGTTGTCGAAGATGGTAAGCCTTTTCATCGTACTTATATTACCAATCTCCTTCGGAAGTTCGCCTGCATTTTATAACGTCTAAATATATGATTGGTTACAATTCAAAAGCAATAGAATTTTGTTTCTAAATGAGTAGCATGCAAAAGATCAAGCTAAAACATTTCTGGAATAAGGCCAAAGCTAATATGGTGGTCCTGTCTCTATTAAGAACTTACATTTGTTGCCCATGGTGGTCAATTCAAAATAAAAAGTGTTTGTCTAAACAAGTGAAGATAAATGGTGAAGTACTTATATACATATAAGTGGGAAATAAATGTGAATGTTTACATTGTAAATTATAAAGTATGAGCGCTAACTCATACTATAAATTCCTTGGGCACCATTTGAAATAGGGCAAATTACACTTTACCTCCTGTGATTTAGTATTTGTTTACATAACTCCCCTATGATTTCAAAAACTATACATAACTCCCTTCATAATTTGGATTAAAGTGTCAAATTGACGGGATTTGCAATCCATAATTGAGTCAAGAAAAATATCAAAAATACCCCTATGTAAAGTTAAAAATTATTTATTAATCACAAGGAGCTATGTAAATATATTAAAAACCATAAGGGAGTTATATGATAAAATATAAAATCATACGGAGTTAGAGTGTCATGCATATTATGTTTATGTATTTTGGCTATTTCAGCCATTTTAGTTTTTAAACAAAGATAATTTCGACATTTTCATAGGTTCCGTTACGGATGAACATTTCCATCACTTTGACACTTTAATCCAAACTATGAGGGGTTTATATATAGTTTTTGATGCCATAGGAGGGTTATGTAAACAAATACTATATCACAGGGGGTAAAGTGTAATTTGCCCCTTGAAATATCTATGAAAATCAGAAAGAAATTCTGTCAGAGATTGCAGGACTAGCAATACTTATAAGTGAGTCTATTTAAGAGAACATGATCAATTTAACAAAGTATCTCTTTTATCTCAGTTCTGCTCTTGTGATCTCTTCTTTTCTTCTTCTTCTTCTTCGCGTAGCTACTTCTTTGCTATTTGCTGGCGAATTATTCTTCAGTTGTAATCTAGTCAAAGTCTTACCTATAGAGACAAATCGTTTGTCCAAGCCTTACAAATGAAAATCTCAAATAAGTTAGCTTCACTTTAGTATAAAATTTCATATTCATATTCAACTAAAGTTCTTTTAAAAAATCCAGGCTTTATCAATGGGATATGATGAATCATCTAGCAGCCACAATACCATTTCTCTCAGAAAATTTGGTTTCCCATTGCAAGGAGCATATTGATGTAATAACAAGAGTAAGCTTAAAAAATGATCCTAATAAAAATTTGATTGAATCAACTAAGAAGTTTTCTTAACTGTTCAGAAATATTTTATGGCGTTGTATTGAATAATTGTAATTAAATTTTCATGAAAAGCTTTAGTATGTAAACTAAAATTCATTATTAAATGTGGTATTTTTATGAAAACTGTTGTAATTTAAAAACAAGTTGCAAAAAAACTACATAAGATTAAATAAGAAGGATAAATTACTAATAATCCATTTATAATTTTAGATCTTGCCACATGACTTCCTAACATTCTAAAATATCCATATTCTCCTTTTTGGTTTTACTTAAAATGAAAAGATGGATGGAAAACACCTCTAGTTAAGGTGATTGACTGATACAAGCTTAACCATGTGTGATGAAATTATAATATTCACTTAATCCTTTACAATTTTGTATAAATATCTATTTAACCGTCCAATGGTCTTGCATATATCCATATAATCACCCTATAATTTTATACAAAGTGGTTAGAACTTAGACTTCGTATTATTTAGTACTTAAATAAGAGTAATATTGAAATTTCAACTAACTACACGGGGTTATATAGATGCTTTGAAACGTTGACATAATCATGTGATAATATGCGAAGCCACAAGGGCGTTGTTAGCGATTTGCCCAAAAAGAAATTTATGTGGCCACACTGATGATTTGATTGTCTGGCTACGGATATTCTATTAATTGAAAGAATAGCGAAACATGTAATCTAATTTAGATTCACACCCAAAGGCAAAATTTTAGTATCCTACCTGTCAAACTGTTGACCCCAAGGTACAGTTCCTCCAGCTGCTTCAATTCTCCAATTTCTTTGGGTATGGATCCACTGAAATGGTTGATGGACAAGGATAGCACTTGAACTCTCCCACATTTGGACCTATTTGATGGTATTTGACCAATTAAGTTATTGTAGGATAAAGAAAGCTATGAAAGTTGTTGAAGACGAAGGCACATATCAGGAAGACTACCAGATAAGCTATTACTCCTAAGGGAAATCAATTCCAATGAAGAAATATTGAAAATATCAGATGGCACTGAACCGGTAACAAAATTTGCCTCAATGATCAATCTCTTCAAATAATGGAGATTCCCAATGCCATTGGGAATGCTTCCTTGAAAAGAATTGAAGGACAGCCATAATACCTCAAAATTTGATATGTTGGAGATAGAAGGTGGGATAAAACCTGTAAAGCTATTGTTTCTTAGGGACAAGTATTGCAATTTTTGTAAGGAACCAAGCCATGAAGGAAGCTCTCCAGTGAAATTGTTGACACCTAAGTTAAGGATTCTTAATCGGCGCAAACGGGCTAAGTCATTGGGGAGTTCTCCATGGAAATTGTTTCCCATCATGTCGAGGGAGATAAGAAAGGACAGATTCCCCAGTTGCGGAGGAATGGTACCAGTAAGACCCATGTTTGATATATTCAAACCAGTTACTCTTCGGTGACGACAGCCACATGTAACTCCAAGCCACTCACAAGCTGAGGTTTTCACAGACCAATTTTTTGCAAAGATTTGGTGAGGTTCTGAAGTGATTATATGCTCTCTCAGAGCAAGGAGGGCTGATTGGTCTGTGGTAATGTTGGTGGTGGTCATGGAAAAGCAAGCAAGCAAAAAATTATGCAACAAAATTCCTAGGTGGAAAAAGTAGTTTACTTTGTCCATAGCTATGCTCAAATTCTAGATATGGGACACACAACGCCAATTGGTAACAATATATAGGCAATCCGAGCATGGAAGTATGCAAATTACATACACAAGAAGCAGTGCTAAATATGATCATTTTTGTTGACTCAGTTGGGGTAGAGTCAATTGCTAGAAATATTTTGTAAGTTTCACTAGTAACTTTTAAGTTCCAAACTGTTACAAAATTTAAAAAGAGATTGTGATGACCAATTGGCTTCAATCTTTGACGTGTCATTGGGTTTTTTTCCTGCGAAACTTCAACATTAATGTTGATGTGCTTTGCTTAATTTTTTAAATCGGTTGTTGGTTGAATTAATGCAAAACAAATTCATTAGAATTTAATGGGAATACTTAAGAGAATAACCAAATTTCAACAGTGATTAACAACAAGATTCACAGAGAATATTGGAAAGAATTCTTGGGAAGATGACATGGACTCATGGAATGGGCACCTTGGAATAATTTCTGCTCTTGCTTGTCCTTTTCATTTCTCTTCCTCTTTTTGTTTTTATTTTTCAGAAGATTCCTTGTCTAGCTCTTTAACATTAATAAATCATTATGATGCCGATAAATCGTGAGAAGGGCTAGTTGTTAAGTCCAAAAACATTTCTAATGATGCAATTCCCAACTAATCGTTTTAACTCGAGTTAGTGTGTACTTTTTCTATCTTTTTAAAACGATACAAGAGAAAGTAAACTTAATTTGCTTACCCAAAAGAGAAAAGTAGACGTAACTTATAGCATGATACTTTCTCTTCATGTTGTTTGTGATATTTTAATAGGCTAATTGTTTTGGCATTCCAAAAAAAAAAAGGAAAAAAAATACTCCTTGCTTGTTTATTGCTGAATATGACCAAAAGGCAGCTACCCTAAATTTGTAACAAATTGAGTGCCAAAGTTACCCTAAGGCCTGGTTAATGATCAGCTTGTATTATTTTCATGGATACATGCACCTTGATTTCAAAGTCTAAAAAGTTTTAAAAGCAATAAAGTCCAACAAGTTTTAAAGTTGTAAAAGTCCACCTAAAGAATAATGAACAAATCCAAGGGTAATAGATGGCCAATAATTTATTCAAGAACTGCAACAATTTAAACTCAGATAGCCTTTTCCTCCATTATTAATAGCACAACAATGTAGGACTAATGTAAGAGTCGGGGAAAATGAGCGAATTGAATAGACAAGGAAAGAAGGGCTATCGGTGAACATTAAAATAAGCATGGATGGAACCAGGGAGTGGCGGAGGAAGGGAGGTTAAATACTTTTGCCCCTGCAACAAATTGAAAATGTTTCAGGTTAAATATTTAAGTTTAAGTTAAATTAAAGTTCGCCCCCTCAAATATTTTTGATTCCATCTATGAGAGCAAGCATTTGGGGGCAATATTGTCTTCTACAATATTTTAGAAGTGTTTATGTCATTTCATTAAGGAAAAAAAAAAATATTGGAGTGACCTGACCTTTTTCTAGAGTGCCTTATCATCGACCTTAACGTCTCTATGTATTTTCTTTTTCTGCGCGCACCGTGGAAATTATTGCGTATAAACTTTTAGCATTGGCACAATGTTGAAACTTTAAAGATCATAAAGGAATTGGAATCTTGGCATTAGTTGGAATTTGACTAAAGCATTTTTATTGGGTACTTATTTTCTGTTTGTTCTTTTGCCGTAGCTTTTTTTCCTATGTATTCATTTTGAAATCTTTTTTTTTTTAAAAAAAAAAATTACTTTCTTAGATACAACTAAAATTCGAATAGCAAAAATTTCTCAGGTGAAATTATCTCTTCATGATTTGTTGATCCCCAATGAACATCAAATGAACAATTTAATCATATAAGCATTCTAGTTTTAATTCCATACATGATTGTATGGATGGGTAAATCGAGAAGAGCCCGTCCCACTTGTCTCTTGTGGAAAAGTGAAGTTTCAACTAGTATTTCTTTGTCCTCACAAGTCCTTTCCGAAAATTTCTTGAATGTGAATGCTGAAATATTCACGCCCATCCGATTTATTAGATAATGCAATGCTTATAGATGAATGTAAGGCCAGAGACCTGCTATGCTTTTCAAGTTTTCCAATGTGGAAAAATATATGAATTTGTATACAAAAGTCAACACTGTAAGTATTGTGCAATTTCTTTGTAGGCACGCTTCAAGAAAAGAACAAGACTTCAAACAAAAGTTTTTCCACATCCTTGAGGAGGGCATAGGAAGAAGCTTCGTAGAAGAAGTAGTCATAATTTCAACCATAAGAACAAAAACTTATGGAGTCTGATCTTGGCACCTATTGGCTAATCGTTGAAGTTTATCACTTTCCTGGAAACGTCAGTGCAGGCATGCACCATGTACAGTGTTTGCACGTCTATTTATTTATCCAAAACAAAGTTTGTGCCTATGTTGTAGACCACAAATACTTTAGTAAAATGCATTATGCATAGTGTCAATCAAACCTTCTGGCAATCCTTAAATTCCTGCTGAGCAATATCAGCCCAGGCATGGTTACAAATCAAACTTCCAGCCCAATCCCCAGTCCTCACAACCATAGCTATAAAACGTGGTCCGAACTTCAATCAGAGGTGACTAGCTCAATAGGTTTCCGATTCAATCGTCGGTTGGGCAATTCAACTGTAGCTTGGGTGGTAGCTATATTATATAATATAATAATATATTTTAAATTACAAAAATAATAAAATTTTTAAGTTGACTAATAGTCCAACCAACTGTTTTTTTTTATTCATAGGTTGAACTGTCGGGGTTATTGAATGGTCAATAGGTTTACTATTTGTTTGATCTAATTAGTGATTTAATCTGGTCTTTATGGCAGGTTCATTGGGTTGAACGAGCAATCAAGTTGGGTTTTATAACTATACTTACAACCATAAAACCACTCTCTCATCCGCAGTCCCTAATTATTTCCCTTCGGTCCTTTTAATTCACATCATCTTACCATAGGCTGCAAGTTAACTGTTCCTACACCTCTTTCCACCACAGATGGACCCTTTTTTAACCTTCTTTTTTTTTTGGGCCTAACTGTGCATACTAAGAAGAGACAATTGACAGTTGAACTTCGATGCAAACATCTTTCACGTGGAGGGTCCAAAGTTCAAACCCTAAAAACTGAACCAATTTTTGTTTGCAATCACAGTTAACACATAATCATAGGAACAATATGGTCTCCAAGACTTAGTTTAGTCCACTGTCAAATCCCTAATTTGATTTTAAGCTGTCGTTCCTTTCCTTTTTCACCGCTTAAGGCTTGGAATTTCTCATTAGACAAAAAAAAAAAAAAAGGTTATAAAATGGTAACAACTCAAGCCTGTGGCCTTTTTTTGTGCAAGTCGAACAAGCCAATTTTCTAGCCCACTATAAATACATAGCTTTTGAGCTCATTAGTGCAAGTATGGGATCGCTTGGAAAATTGGATGAGAAATGGGAGGACTCGTGTAGAGTACATAATTGTATGATCCGTGTTTTATATTTGTATAATCTGATTCGAAAAGGATTAATAGTAGACTATAAAATTAATAAAATACCTATGATTTATAACCCAAAAAAAAATTTCTTGAAAACAATGATCCAAGATTGTTAGCGCTTTGACACCATTAAACCTACAATGATCCCTTATTCTCGAAGGGCTTTTGGACTGCCAATTATGCGTATTGCTTAAGTTTTCCGTGTTTCTGTACCCGATCGAAACCCATAACTATATGGGTTTCTCCCACAATATCATATCATTATATGGGGATGGAAAGTGGGCGACATTTCAATCCTTTATTTATTTTTTTTGTCTTCTTTGAACGCTTTTCCATACTTGTAAACATCCTTTCATTTTTATTTTTTTTTCATGAACCGAGACTTGATTCTTTGGCAAATTTTTCTACGCGTCAAGGACCAACACTTGAGATCCTTTATAGTGCCATTTTTTAAGGTAGCAATTCGCCTAGAGTCTATGACGATATATCTATAGACATGTTTATTGCATTATCTAAAGTCTAATGCTCGTTTGATTAAACTTGATTTGATTAAATACTTTCAACAAATAATTATTTAACTAATTAGTTGAAATTGCATCAACCATTAAAATTTTTTTTTTATAGTTACCCAGCCATCTATCATTGACTTTGCAAATTCAGATCACGGGAAAAGTTCTAATCGTGAATGCAATATTCTAACAACTACAAATATATAAACTGAAACCGTAGAAGAACCAAGAAGGTTGATAAATTAGGAATCTTGTATTCCTTTGTGAAAGCTTTATTATTGATCAACAAAAGTTCTCATTTGCTCAAAAAAAAAAAAGAGCCAACTTTATCATGAACTAAAACTTTCTTCTAAAAGTAGAATCCAAAACTTTACCGAAAGATTAAAAAATAGTTGAATAAAAAATGGAGGAACACGTTTGAAATTAAAGTTTAACAGCACAAGTCCATTTATAACTTTCGTTCTTTATTAAATTACCTGATCTTGAACATCTACTACATCTTCTTCTCATGACTAAAACGCCCATTGCACGTGCTACTATCCAATAATGTCTTTCAGTTTCATTTCCATTTCTTTTTTTTCTTCATTTGCAACATTATGGAAGTCAAGACTGAGAGCAATTGATACTTTTGCTTTGTGAAAATATAAAAATGGATATTTTACTATGCACAGTTTGAAGACTGAGATCGATTGGTTCTGCAGATTATTAACATCTACATAGCCAACAACTATGCTAGTAAATCATCGTTGTGAA